GTGAGCTTATCCTGGGAAAGGCAGCTGCCTTCAGCAAGAGCACTTCCCTGAGAGGAAGTCAGCTGGGCACCCTGTAGCCATGGAAACTAAGGGCTACGTTCCCAGGGGGTGGAACCTCCCTGACGCCCCCACAGCCCACAGGCACATTTAAGCTTTACTAGGTTTTGCTAAGCAGTTTTTCAAGTGGATTATACCAACTTCTCCCTTCTCAGTGTGTAAGAATTTGTACTGCTGTTCTTCCTGTCGACATCTTCCATTTTGGTTTGCCTCTACTATTTTCTGGATAATTTCAGTAGGTCTTTCCTGAGGTGCAAAAATGACCTCTTTGGTGGTATCTAACCTGCTTCTTCTTCTTTTTTAAGATTTTATTTATTTATTTGAGAGAGAGAGAGAGAGAGAGCATGAGAGAACACAAGCAGGGGGGAGTAGGAGAGGGAGAAGCAGGCTTCCTGCTGAGCAGGGAGCCCCATGCAGGGCTCGATCCCAGGGCCTCTGGGATCACGACCTGAGCCGAAGGCAGACGCTTAATAACTGAGCCACCCAGGTGCCCCTCTAACCTGCTTTTTAGATCGTTGGGTTTTTTTCTTTTTTCTGGAAGTTCTAGGTTTTTTTTTTAAGATTTTATTTATTTGATTGAGAGAGAGAGAATGAGCAGCGGGGAGGAGCGGAGGGAGAGGGAGAAGCAGACTCCCCGCTGAGCAGGGAGCCCCACACAGGGCTCGATCCCAGGACCCTGAGATCATGACCTGAGCTGAAGGCAGACACTTAACCAACTGAGCCACCCAGGTGCCCCTGGAAGTTCCACGTGTTTCTTTTAAAATGTTTTTTTCCCTTAAAAAACAAATTTCTCCTTATGGTTTTTATTTTTTTCTTTGTATTTTTTAATAATATAAATGTTTTTCTTTTTTTTTTAAGATTTAAAATTTTCTTAAGGTAATCTCTACCCCCAGTGTAAAGGCTCGAACTCATGACCCTGAGATTAAGAGTCACATGTTCTACCGACTGAGCCAGCCAGGCGCCCATATTTATTTCTTATAATATATCCAAGTTATATTTTTGGATGTCCCCAGGGGCTCTGATTTCACTGGTTGTTATGGCTATTTGTTTTCATGCAGGATTTTCTTCATTTTTTTTTAATTTTGTGGGAATTCTGTACTTCCTGCCTGTACATGTCATCCAGAGAGGTTTTGCATCTGCTTCTTCCGGGCTCCCCAGGGATATTACCAGCCTGAGACCCTGTTTCTTTCTTTCTTAAAGTAGGCTCCACTCTCAATGTGGGGTTTGAACTCATAACCCTGAAATCAAGAGTCGCATGCTCCACCCATTGAGCCAGTCAGGCATGCCCCATCTTTCTTATTGAAATAAACGTATTGCATTAGTTTTGTTTTGTTTTTTAAGGATTTTATTTATTTATTTGACAGGAGAGAGTAAGAGAGCACAAGCTGGGGGAATGGCAGGCAGAGGGAGAGGGAGAAGCAGACTCCCCGCTGAGCAGGGAGCCCGACGCGGGGCTCGGTCCTAGGACCCTGGGATCATGACCTGAGCTGAAGGCAGACGCTTAACCAACCGAGCCACCCAGGCGCCCCTTTTTGCTGAAGTTTTTTTTTTTTTTTAAAGATTTTATTTATTTGACAGAGAGAGACACAGCGAGAGAGGGAACACAAGCAGGGGGAGTGGGAGAGGGAGAAGCAGGCTTCCCGCTGAGCAGGGAGCCTGATGTGGGACTCGATCCTAGGACCCTGGGATCATGACCTGAGCCGAAGGCAGACGCCCAACGACTGAGCCACCCAGGTGCCCCTTTGCTGAAGTTTTAAAGCACTATTACAGGGCGCCTGGGTGGCTCAGTCATTAAGCGTCTGCCTTCAGCTCAGGTCGTGATCCCAGGGTCCTGGGATCGAGTCCCGCATCAGGCTCCCTGCTCAGCAGGAGACCTACTTCTCCCTCTCCCACTCCCCCTGCTTGTGTTCCTGCTCTCACTGTGTCTCTCTCTGTCAAATAAATAAATAAAATCTTAAAAAAAAAGAACTGTTACAAAGATAGTAGCTTCTAATTCTCTTAAGGTTGCCTTCTTCTCTTTCAGTCTATTTGATTCATTTGTCCTGAGTATCATTAAAAAGAGATCGACTTGCTCCGCAAGTTTTGCTCTTGGGTAAAAAGCAGAAGTCCTAAAGCCCTGGATCAATATGTCTCTTCCCAGCTGAGTGACCCCAGGCACACTTGCTAAGCTCTCTCATTGTGCGTCCTCACCTGTAAAGGGCAGGTGATAGTATTTACCTGTAGGGTAGTGGTGAGAATTAAGAGATGACGTATGTAGAACGCCTGACACGAACTAGGAGCTTAACAAAGAGTATCAGTTAGTGATACTAACAATAAGTTGCCAGAACGAAGTGATGCTATCTCTTTGCAGCCCTGGAAGCCAGGTAACAACAGAAAGCTCGCACCGAGACATACCTTCTTCCTCAACTGAGTGCGATCTAGTTATTTGGTATCCTGTACTTACCTCTTTAGTGCTGGGAAGAGGACTGGCCGTTAACAACTGAGCCAGTCTGCAACTTGACCTGAGCAAAATCAATCAAGCAAACCAGAAGATTCCATCGTAAGCAAGGCTATCAATTTCAGAGATGCCCCTGTTCCAAGCATTCCTCTTCCTCCTCCCCAGGTCCTCCTGTTCCCCTGGGACTGTCCCTCTCCTGGCTGAGATGAACCCTACGGGACTTGACAGAGTTCAGATCGCTCCGGACAGCAACAGAGAAAACAAGGAGGCAAGTGTCAGACTTGAAAGGGACTCTGATGGCGCTCTGGCGGGAGTGGCTCAGTTGGGTGGAGCTCCAGGCTTCCTGCTCAGGGCATGAGGTCCCGGGGGCAGAACAGTGGCCATAACGGCTGGCACCCTGGCATCCCTCGGTGTCGTGAGCATGGACTCTGGTCCTGCAGTCACCTCGGCGGGCAGCTCCGGGCTCCTGGTTTCTGCAGTGTCCGTGGGGATTCTAGCGATGCTGGCCACTAGATGATCCCATTTCCCACACAGCCCTGGGGCTGACAGTGTCTGCCCAGTTACTAACGGATGGCCTCAATTTCCCCCCTTTTGATCTTTCACTCCTTTTGATAGTTTGGTCACAATTCCCCACTCTGGAATGTTTCGGGGTATCTATTTTCCTGGCTAGACAAGCACCGAAGTCTGCCCTGAACTTGCCTCACTGCAGTAGAGCCCACGGGCTGAGGAGGGCCCGGCTCTCTGTGACGGTGGCACCCTGGGAAGTAAAGGAGAGAACTAGGGTGCCGGCTGAGGAAAGCCCCAGTCTCCTGTGCGGGTGATGTCTCCTCCAGGGCCCTTTGGAGCCCCTCCCAGGTCCTCCTCACGCCAACGGGGTTGGTACCATGGCACCAAAGTCCCCCACCTTTGCTGACCAATGAGTGGAGAGCAAAGCAGGTGATGGGGAAAGGTGGATCAGCTCTCCTGGCCTGCACCCCAAAGTCTCATTTGCCCAGCCCTGTTTCCCCCTTTGCGCACTGGATAGGGAGGAGGGGGGGGGAGTCCGATCAGCCCCCAGGAAAAACCTGTAAAAAACGGAGTCAGCCTACATCAACTCTTAAATATTTAATTCCCATTTATTTAAAGTTCTGTCAGTCTGTGTACACTATTTATATTAAAAACACAGGAAGCTGGGGATCCTAGCAAAAATATACATTTCGATTTTGGAGATTGTGTTCAGACACTGAGAAGAGCTATATCCTCAGCACCAGGCCTGGGGGAGGGGCGGGGGGGTGCGTGGTGGCGGAGACGGGGTGGGGGGGTCAGGCACAGCATCTCTCCCTTCACAGCGCTGGCTCAAAGGGAGCACCCTAACCCCAATCCTTGGTCAGCTGGGGGTGGTGGTGGGAGAGGGAAGAATCTTGTCAGTAGAGAATGATCCCAGGGCCTGGAAGGCAGGGGCAGATGGCCGGGACTCTAACCTCAGGTCTTCCCCAACCTTTCTCAGAGACCCTCACCAGTCCCTCACCCTTCCAGGCCAGTTTCCTTCCTGGTGAAGCAGGCTGGGTGGGCTCTCTGACTTTCTGCTCAGACACAGCATCCAAGCTGGGCTTCAGTCCCTCCTCTGAGGCCGAATACTTCACCTGGGAGGAGGGGAACGGTAGATGCAAGGGCCAGAGGAGTGGGACTGGACCTGGCAAGGTCCTTGGTCACCAGAAGCTGCATAGGGGGAGTTCCCGGTGACTGGCTGGGCTGAATACAGGGGAAGGGGAGAGCAGCAGAACTGCTGGGACAAACGGATGTCACACTGAGCGGGATCAGTTTATCCCTGGCACCTCCCCCATGAGCGGGTGCTGGGCTGGTTCAGCAGGGCACCCCTGCCTACCAAGGGATCTGGGAACGAGGGCGCAGCTGTGCCCGCTCACCTGGAGGCCCCTCTGGCCCATCTGCCTCGGGGAAGGGAGGGTGCGGGGTGTGGAACCAGGTAAAGTGATTCAGTGCTTGTGTGTGCTGGAGTGTTGGGGGGGGGGGCGTGCATGAGCTTCCTCTGGGCTCCTGGTTGAGGCTGAGGCCAGGAACTCCTGAGAAACAGGAGTCGTGGGTGGTGGCTGCTGCAAAGTGGTGGGAGAGGGGCCGCCGATGACCCCAAGGCCTGGGCTCAGAATTAAGTACACCGCTTGCTGCCTTTTCTGCCAACCTCCGCCTCCCTCGAGGCTTGCTCCTCTTCAGTGGGGGCCCCCACCTGAAGGGAAGCCCATCTCCTTCCAGGCTAGGGGTGTCCCCTGGCGGCCAGCGCAGGGGACCAGCAGTGACACTGGCCTGGAAGACTGGTGAAAAGAACAGAGAGGGCGCTGGTAACAGTGGGGCTGGGGTGTGCTGCTAGGAGGGGTTGGCTGGGTAGGGGGAGGGTGGTGACAGTCTGGGGGAGGCGTCCTGGCCCTCAGGGCAGGGCCCCCATGACTCGGGGGCCATTGCTGCAGTCAGCCCGGGCCCTGGTGGCTTCCCCAGGAAGCTGGGCCCAGAGAGCTTAGTGTTTCTTTGGCTGGCCCACGTCCTTTGCTGTGAAGACAGGAGAAGTGAGGCGCCTACCCTTGCAGGTGACTGTTGGTGCAGAGGGCAGGCCCATTCCTCCCTGCTCCTGGGGGACAGGGGACGGGGCGGACGAAAGCAGAGGACATGTTCCATGCTGCTGGTGAAGTAACACAAACTGTCTCACAGAAAGAGAAAGGGGGGCAGACACAGGGATGGGGAGAGAAAGGGAAGGCCAGGGAGGGAGGAAGAGGGGAAACCTACAGAGAGACGGGAAGAGAGAGCGAGCGAGCGAAGAAATTAGAGAAGAAAGAGGATCTGAGAAAGAGGCAGATGAAGACGGGGAGGGAGCGAACGCAGGGAGCAAGGGGCCGTGTGTCTGAGGGCGGCAGTGTGGCTCCACTGCTCCGGGCCCGTGGGCGCCCAGGGCTCGGGGACTGCTCTCTGGGTAAGTCCCAAGGGCGGCGTCTGCCCCAGCTCTGTCCGCCTGCCCCCAGAGACCCCGGGCGCATGCCCTCAGTACATGTCCTTGTAGATCTCCTGGAGCAGGGGGTGCAGCGAGGTCTCTGTCTCGGTCTTCTTGATGCGCTGCATCATCTGCGCGTGCTCGGTGACCAGCTGCCGCAGGTCAGCCATTTTCTGCAGCAGCTTGGGGAAGAGGTACTGGGCGTACGGGTGGTTGGCCTGCAGGTGGAACTCGAGGGCACGCAGGATGGTGTCCTGGATGGCCTCCACCTGGGGCACGTTTATGAGGCCTGGCCGGTCTGTGGGACACAGGGCAGAGGTGTGGGACGGAGCAGGCATGCATGGAAGTCTCCGGGGGGTGGGGGTGGGCAGAGGAGCTCCCCTACCTCTACCCGGGTGGGTGACTTGGCCCAGGGGACAGCAGACCTACTGCTGCTGTGACAGACCCAAGCCCTGTTCTGTCGGTGACTGTTCTACTATTCTAGCCCCTCCACCCCAAGTCCTGGCCCATCTCCTTCACTTTTTTGTTTTTTTTTTCTTCTGAAAAAGGCAGCAGTATGACCTCATGGTTAAGAGACTCACTGCCTGGATTCAACTCCCGTCCCTACCACAGGCTAGCGAGGAGGCTCTGGGCGGGCCACTCGCAGCCTCTCTGACTTCAGTTCTGTCATCTGTAAAACGGGGTGACAGAAGTACCCTCGGCACAGGCTGCTGCGAGGATCAAATGAGTTATAATCTAGGAAAAGGAACCAGAACAGTGCCTGGCACAAAGTAAGCTCTATGGTACTGTGAGCACAATGATTATTCTAGTTATTGCACCGGAATCTGAAAAATGCAGGCAAAATACGGAGAATTTCTCCACTGTCAGAAATCATCCCCATTAACATACTGGCATATTTCTTTGCAGACTTTTTTCTGTCTCCTCCCCATCGAGAAGAGGGAGCCAGTCCTGCACGTAGTCGGAGCCTCGCGTGTCACACTGCTGTCATCACAGGGCACCTCCCCACGCTGTGCACGCTCGGGCCTGGCGCCCCGTGGTGGGGGCCCGACCCCCAGCAGGGCTGCCCCACCCTCACTTACCTCCACAGAGAATGATGGCCGCAATGAAGAGAGCCAAGTCACTGTCATCAAGTTCCAGGGCGTTGAACTTGACCGCAAACTCAAACTTGGGCTCGATGATGTCACTGAAGGGCTTCCGGAGGCTCCGCAGGAACTCCCGGGTGACGAACCCAGTGCCGTTGGCCACCAGTAAGCCGTCCTTGTTGACGATGGAGGCCAGCATAGCGAATATGGCCTCATGTACACCGTACTTGAGAAGGGTCACCTGGTCGTTAAGGAAGAGGGTGCTGAAGCTGGGGATGCTCTTGGCGAACTCGGTGAGCTCCCGCACTGTCTCAACCGTGGTGCACTGGCAGCGGTAGAAGACGTGCACGCTGATCTCCTTGTAGGGGGGCAGGCCGTTCACCAGCTGCTTCCACACCAGGCCCTTCTCTGCTTGCCACAATGTCTCGATGTCATGGATCACAAAGGGCTGAAAACCAGGCCCCGTTAGAGGCCAGGCCTTGGGGGGACCCCCGCCCATGTGCTCCCCATGCCCCCAGCCTGTACCACGAAGTGAGGGGAGGCAGGAGGCCCGGTTCTCCCAGCAGTCAGGCAGGCGGCGGCAGGGCCCAGAGCCCGGGGCTGCCAGGCCAAGCAGTGACACTCACCGCCGTGTGGCTGGCCTTGCCGGTGAGGATGCCACGGGCCTTCTTTTTGGTCATGTTGAAGTTTTTCAGGTAGGCGTTGTAGATGTGCTTGGAGAAGGCCTTCAGGTCAGCCACCTGTGGGTTGTGCTGATTCCCCTCACTTGCCGTCAGCCCTGCCACCAGCTTCCTCTTCTCGGCCTCTGGCATCCGGCCAAAGCGGATGGCTGTATTGGGGGGTGGGGGGTGAGGGGGGGGTCATCAAGGAGCCCAGGCAGGAGCTAGCACCTCTAACCTCCTTGCCTCACAACAGGTACGTGGGCCAAAAATGGAGACACGTTTTTTGAGCCCAGGACCCTCAGAAGCTCTATGGCCAGCACACTGGAATGCTGGAGAACCCCTCCAGAATGCAAGCGCCGGGGGACAGGGATTCTGTCTTGTTCACAGTGCCTCGCATGCACACAAAGGCCCTAACTCAGGGAGTCAACTGAGCCACTGTGCCTGGAAGGCAGTGCAGTGTGACGCGTAGGAAGACAGTTTCTGGTGTCAAAGGCCCGTGCCTGAGTTCCAGCTTGGCAGAAATAGGCAGGCTATTTCACCTTTATTCATAAGAAAAATGGGCTAATACTGAGATCTCACTGGACTGTCAAAAAATAAGAATATTCACACAGTAAGCACTAAAACGTTAGTCATTAGTAATGGAACAGGATAGAAATCTGGCTTCTCTAAGAGAAAAAGTGAGAAGAACTGAGTTGGCCGTGAGATCTCCTAGGAAATCCGCTCAGCCCACCCAAGGAACAGAGCCCGGGCAGATACAGACTGAAGGGTGGGACCAAACCCCAGACCTGCCAGGCCCCACCATCTAGGAAAAGCTTCAGGTGGAGGGCTCGGGGCCCGCCACCATCTAAAAGGCAAGACAGGGTAGCTGTGAGTGTAGACATTTAAACAAGAGGCTCTCCCCAGTCCTCTGGGGGCGGCACGGCGGGGGGGTCTGACCCAGACAGGCAAAGGGGGCAGGTGGGCTCTGCAAAATCCTACTGTATGGGGTCTGAAGACAAGACTCTGTAGAAGGCCCGAATGCAGGGCAGGATCTGTCTCCCGGGAGAGGCCGGCCTCCAGGAAACTCCTGTCTGGCTCCCGGCAGCGGACCCGTGTGGTCACTCCCTGGCTTCTGCCGGCCTTCACTAACCAAGGAGAGCTGAGGCGATCCCCGGCTTGGGCAGTGGCTTTTTACGCTGTGTCGGGTCATCTGAGCAAGGCTTGAGGTGCTGGGGTCAATTCCCAGTTTCCCTCTGGGCCAGCGAGGGTGAGCGCCCCAGGCGCGGGCCTCACAGCGGACGCGGAGCCGGAGCCGTCTGGGGAAGGCAGGTCTTCGCCGGCTGCTGCGTCAAGCCGCACCTGCTGCGCACCGGGCACTGCTCCGAGGGGCCCCCCTCCACCCCACCCCCCCCAGGCTGCACCAGGCCCGGGGTGGCTCTCACCGTTGTGTGACATGCCGAGCGCCACGCACTTCTGGAAGCGGCAGTACTGGCACTTGTTGCGGTTCTTCTTCTGGATCTTGCAGATGCGCTCACACTTCTCGTACTCCAGCTTCATGCGGATCGTCCGGCGGAAGAAGCCCTGAGGGGCGGGCGAGAGGTGAGGCAGAGCCACAGGAAGCTCAGGATCCCGCTCTGCCCTGTGGGTTCTGTGACGTCAGGGGCCCCAGTTCTTTTTTTTTTTTTTAAAGATTTTATTTATTTATTTGATAGAGAGAGACACAGCGAGAGAAGGAACCCAAGCAGGGGGGGAGTGGGAGAGGGAGAAGCAGGCTTCCCGCTGAGCAGGGGGCCCGATGCGGGGCTCGATCCCAGGACCCCAGGATCATGACCTGAGCCGAAAGCAGATGCTTAATGACTGAGCCACCCAGGCGCCCCAGTTCTGTGTGTAAATGTCAACCTTTCTGAAATTTGGAAGTAATTGGGAGAAATTTCTTTTGGAGGGGAGGGAGGAGGAGAGTAAACAACTCTAAAGCCTTTGAGATCTATCTATATTTCTTTATTTTAAATGCTTCCTTGTGAGTTTGGTCACCTAAAACTGTATTGTGGGTAATCTGGTTTATTCATAAAAGTATCTGGTTCTGGGTATTTTCTAGGCGGTGGTGTAGTAAAATAGTATGTACAATTTTGATGGGCGTGCAGGTAGGAGGATGAACCAAAAGCACCCCTGGAGAAAGAAATGTAAAGTTTCCTTTTTTCCCTCAAAGAGGCCCTTCCGGGCCTTGAAGTGCAGGAAACACTGCCGTCAGGGTGATGGTTGAGCCCAAGATCCTCATTCTGCCCAGCCGGTGTTCTAGAGCTACGTCCCCAGGGGGCGCCAGCAGCCAGCCAGCCCACATGAGAGGCTGGGACCAGCAGGACCCAGGGCGGAGGACCTGGAATGGGCCCAAGGGCCTGGCGGCCTCCCAGGTGGGAATTCCGCAGTAGGGACTGGGAGGGCCCGGCCTCTCTGGCAGGTCAGCTCTCCGTGTAAACACAGCCCCAGCCACCAGCCACCACTCGCCGCAGGCCCTACCTTGCAGCCCTCACACGCGTGAACACCATAGTGGAAGCCTGATGCCTTGTCCCCGCACACACGGCACTCCATGTTGAGGCTGCCACACGAGGCCCCGTCACAGCCCATCTGCAACTGGTCCAGCAGTGAGGGTGGCGAGGAGCTCCGGGAGAGGTCTGCAGACACACGACATAGGGGTGCCTTCATATTCGGCCAGGATGGGGAACAGGGGAGGTGACCAGAGCCCACAGGGGCAGAGCAGGTGATGGGAAAAGCCCATGTTTCTCAAGCAGCGCTCACTCAGCTCAGACACTTAACAGCTATGTGCCTCAAGGAGTCAACCTTTCTGAGGATCGGTTTCTTCATCTAGACCATGGGGCTTTTCCTCAGACCTGACATACAGCAGGTGTTTGGGAAATGGCAGCTATCGCTATCGGGGGGAAGTCAGAGCCTTCCTGGGCTGTACTCACCACTGGGGAGGAGGGAGGGAGGGTGTGTGTGTGTGTGTGTGTGTGTGTTGGGGGGGATGATTGTGTTTTGGTGTGTGTGTGTGTTGGGGGGGATGATTGTGTTTTGGTGTGTGTGTGTGTGTGCTGGGGGATGATTGTGTTTTGGGGGGAAGGGAGCAAGAGGAGGAAGATAGAATCTCTTCAGACTGAACTTGGGAAGTAGCTCTCCTAGCTTAAGGGGCTCCACTGTGTGGGCTCATGTAGGGTTGTATGAAATGAGTGTTAGGGAGACTGCAGCCCTCCACCCACATCTCCTGGGAAATTCGATTCTTGTGTGGACTCCAGAGATGCTGTAAAGGATCTATCAAGAAGCTCAAATCCATTCTTACAAAACTTCTTGCTCAAGTAGAAAGAAGGCAGGTACCATTCATGCTGACTGGGCAACATACTGAATTTCCCCAGGTTTTTTTTTCTATTAAGTGTACGAGATGTTTGAACCAGATGTTGAGAGTATAAGCAAGGAAAGCACTAGACTAAGGCAATGACTTCGGTGTGTATGTGCTGTCAGCTGACTCGGTAAGAATTTCTGGGAGTCCCTTTGGAATCTCTCCCTTGGACACTCAGCCATGAGCCCGGCCCTGAGCCTCAGTCGCCTGGCCCAGGGCCAGCTGCATGACCCCACATGCCGCCTGTCCTGCCAATCTGCTGTTCTCTGCTCTCTTTCCTGATGACTGAGCAACCTCCTCAGGGGCAGGGGCCAAATCCCCAGACCAGAGAGTCAGTGGCTCAGAGCAGGATGGCACCTTAGGGAGACCCAAGCCGTGAAGCTGAACGCAGACTTAACATTTCCCAGGCTGGTGTTGCTCCTCGTCTGTCACCCAAATATAGGTCACTCCACAAAATATCTTGACTTCCCTCCCACGGAGTAACCCACCCTCCCTAGACCAAAGTGTACTCTACCTCATACCTTCCTCCGCTCCCCCTTGGGCCCTAGGAGTGACAGCAGGGAAGCCTTCAGCCAGACCCTACCTGGGCCACAGGGAGGGGAGCATGAGCACCAGACCAGACCACAGAATAGAGGACCGGACAGCCCACTGCCCTCCTGGGCTGGTAAGGGCAGGGGTGTGAGGTAAAATAGCCCATCCCGTCCCAGGGCCTTCGCTCCCGACCTTCGGTCATTCCAGGGGATGTAACCACCTGCCTCAGCCCACAGATGGGGGAGAGTGGGCTCCCTCCGTCTCCTGGGCACAGTGCTGCAGGGGAGCCTGCAGCCTGGGAGGGCAGAGCCACTCTGGTTTTCTCCACAGCCTTTGCCACCACATGACAGTCCGTGTGTGTTCACTCAGTGTTGGGTGCCCTCCACCACAACGTAAAGGCCACAGGGCAGGAACTCTGCCCCCAGGGTGCTGCTGCGGGATGGGGAGCAGGCAGTGACTGTGGGGTAAGGAAGTGGACCTCAAGCTCCCTGGGTTGGTCCTGCACTCAGCGCCAGCCGGCTGCAGGGTTTGGGCAGTCTCCGCCACGCCTGGGGGGCCTCAGAATAGGGGCAAAGGAACTCACGTTATGAGCTGTCGGCAGAAAATGAGATCACGTGTGCAAACCCTTTGTAGAGACCTGTGTGGAGGCTGAGCAGGAGGGTTTCCGGCCCTCCCCCCCCGATCTGTGTGCATGTTCGCTCTGTGTCACTTCGTGTGAGCAGTTGTGTTTTTGGGGCTTACCCGTCTGCCTCCTCTGCTGGACGTGGCACATCTCCAATCACCCCGCCTTTGGACCTCTAAGCTCACCTCCACCACCGCATCTTGTCCACAGCCACCAACCTTTTGGTGGTGCCCTCTGTGTTCTCCCTCCCGGCCCTGGAGGCCGGGCAGGGTTCTGGGCACTTGCACTGCACGCGGCAATGCCGCCCGCTCTTTACATTCCGCGGACACTTGGTGAGCACCTGCTGTGTGCACGGCAGGGCCTACACCCTGCCCTCGACTAGCTGAGGTGAGAATGAGGTGAGAAAGCTGGAGCACGACACAGCGAGTGGCAACGCTGGCTGAGGGGCGGGCAGAGGGAGCAGGACTTGGAAGGCGCCACCACCAAGCCTGAGGCTGTCAGGGAAGGCGACTGCTCCCCTCTTGCGGCTCAAAGATGAGACCTTTGGGAGACTCCAAGTCAGCTTCCAGATGCTCGGGAAGAGCAGGCATGAGGGTGAAGAATGTCATTGAGTTCAAACTGGCGTCTTAGGCTCAACACCCAGCTCTGCCCGCTGGGCCTCAGTTTCCTCCTCTGTAAGATGGAGAGGACAGGAGTATCTATCTGAGAGTCATGGCGAAAAGTAACAGAGTTACTACAGAGAAGAGCCCTCGGGCCTGGAAGTCCACATCAACATCGGGGTGAGTTAGGACGGTGCTTATCAGAAAGCTGCAATTCTGCCCTCCTCAAGCTCCGTACCCTACACAGGCAGGGACCGAGACCTGTCCTCCTTCTGGCTGGCTGTACCTCTTCCCCTGCAGCTTCACGGAAATCCAAGGCGGGGGGGTGTCTCTGCTGATTGAGGCCCAGAGAGCCCCCAGGACCAGACCAAGCCTCCTTTCACTTCCCCTGGCCTGCCACGGACCCGTGGCTCAGGAGCATTAGGATCCCTGGGAACCCTGGGAGAAGCCAAGGTGCTCCGGCCCCACCAGCCCCTGAGGCAGCCTGAGCTCCGGATCCTGAGGAGACACCCCGGGCGAGTGTCTCAGAGGGAAGTGCTGCAAATGAGACTGTGGAGAAATAGGCCCAGGGCACTATCAGGGCGCTGGGCCATGGCTGTCCCACCCCTGGGTCGTGAGCAGACACAGGCCGCAGAACCTCAAAGCAGTTGGTGATGCTCGGTGGTGGCTGGCTAGTGGAACAAGGGCACCCCCTGCCCGTTTGGAGTAAAAGAACAAAAATAACTGCCAGGCGGAGAGGCAGGGGAGATGAGGCGCTAGGATGGGCAGAAGTGTATGCATCCCCCCCCGCAGGGGAAGGTTTTGTGCTGGAGTGCATGTGCAGTGGGGACACTGAAGTGGTAGGGGCTTGGGAGTGGGTTTTCTTTCCTTTTTAAAAAAATTTTTTTAAAGATTTAATCCGTTTGACAGAGAGAGAGAGAGAGAGAGAGCGCACATGTGCAGCAGAGGCAGAGGGAGAAGCAAGCTTCCCACTGAGCAGGCAGCCCGACATGGGGCTCGATCCCAGGACCCCGGCATCACGAGCTGAGCCGGAGGCAGACGCTTAACTGACTGAGCCACCCACGTGCCCTGGGAGTGGGTTTTCTAAAGATGAAGGTTCTGTTTCTTCCTGGCTGATCACCTGGCTTAGGGTTTTATCCTTGAATCTTGCCCAAAAGTAATGATGGCAGAATGCTCCCCATTCTAGGGACCAGCTTCTGAAGGTCCCACTGCCTTGCCCATGACCTCCCGGTGGGAGATTGGGGTTCTGAGAGGCTGTCCCCCTGACCGGGAGCCCCTGCCCCTCAGGTATGCTGGCCGGGGACACAGGCCACGCCAGTCTGAGGGCCGTCTGCCTGCACAGCGGCTCTCCCCAGCCAGCCCAGCATTGTCCTGCCCTGGCTCCTCCTCAGCTCTCAGGAAATATACTTCTCACCCGATGGCCATCATCCGGGCCCTGCCTGAACTTCCACTCCAGACACACCCTGCCTGACCCCCCAAGCATCTCATGAAGGCCCACCTCTCCTTCTACCCCAGGAAGGGAGGGGGAAAGAACCAGCATTTATCGCCCGCCCCCCAAAAGCTGGTTAGTATCATTCCATATCACCTTGGAAGATAGTAACTGACACCATTTAAAGTTGAAGAAACTGAAACTTGGTGAGGTTAAGGGACCTGCCCAAGGTCACCTGTCTAATACCTGGTGGGACTGGGCCTTGAACCTAAACCTGACTTCCCTGTAAAGAGTGTGTGTCTATACTAATAATCTCCTTTTTGTGCATGCCTCCTGTGTACCAGGCGCTCTGCTAGACACTTTATACCATTAATCCATGGGAACCTTAAAATAACCCTTCAAACAGGTCTTCTGACGCTTTTATAGGTGAGGTTAAGTAACACGCTGACAGTGGCATTAACCAGATCATTAATTTTATGTGTCACCTTGGCCAAGCCATGGTACTCATGGTGATCAGTTTTTGGTCAAACACCAGTCTAGATGTTGCTGTGAAGATATTTTTTAGATGGGATTAACATTGAAATCATTGCTCTCCATAATGTGAGTAGGCCTCAGCCAAATCAGTTGAAGGCCTTATGGAAAAAGACCGAGGCCTCCCTAAGGAAGAAGGAATTCTGTCTCTGGACTGCCTTCAAACTTAAGATACAGCATCAAGTACCCTGGGTCTCCGGTCTGCTGGCCTGTCCTGCAGAATTCAACTTGCTAGCCCTCACAGTTGTGTGAACCAATTCCTTACCTGTGCACACGTGCGCACACACACACACACACACACACACACACACACTCTCTCTCTCTCTCTCTCTCCCTATGTATGCACACATCCTATGGATTCTGTTTCTCTAGAGAACCCTAATATAGTAAGAGAGTTCAGAATCAAAACCTAGAACCACCTAACCCCCAGGGCTGAGCTCTTACTATTCATTAGTACTAATCAATAATTCATGATCATGATAACCGATGAGACATGTTACTGCTGAGGAGGACACCATGCCATTATTCAAATGTTTAGGCTCAGCGTAAACACTAAGCCCAACACCCAGGGAGTGAACTATCAGTTGCACCATCCTGGATTACAAGTTCAGCAAACAGACACTATTGACCTTACTCACATCATTTACGTATGGATGAGAGTTCTCTTGCATGCCTAGTCTCTACTGCTGGAGGTATGCTGTTGTCATAGCTGTGAGAGCGGCCAGGAGGGGTCAACACTATTTACTTTGCTGGCAGAGTCCCACAGGCAAATAGCTTCTGAAGTCGGGGCCAATTCTGTGGGACTCTGGAGCTGGGTTACTAGGCAGCCTCCTTAACTTCTGTCGTCCTGTTCACCTGCAGAGTGGGCTTCTCAGGGCTGGCGTGCAGCCTTGTCCTCAACTGAAAGGCCAGCCCTTGCCTGGACACCCACTGAGTGCTTGCGGAGAGAAGAGGTGCCAAGGCCAGGAGGAAGGACACTTGATCTTCCTCAGCCCCAGTCCGCACCAAGACCCCTGACCTCTTCCTAGGGTGTGGATGTGATGCCCATCACTGAAGTAGGAGGGGACAGCTGCCCCCACCCCTATCCAGCTTGGGGACCCTGGGTGTGTGAGTTGCCTTGCTGCTGAGTCCTAACGGGGAGATCTGTCTCGCCTGCCTCTTTGTCAGGTGTTGAGCTCGGGACAGAGATGCAGAACCTCTGAGGGGTCAGAAGGGAAGCAAACTGTGGGTCTTCTTGCTGTTTCAAGGCTCTAGGCTGTGTCCCATCCTCCTCAATTCCTGAGGGGACTTGAGGCCAAAGTCATAGACTCACGGGGCAGGGTAGAGAGCCTTACCGGGCCAGCCCTTGAGGTGGGCAGACTTTAAAGGCAGAGACTGAGAATGGAGAAGTGAAGGCACCAGCAAAAGCCATGGCTGACAGTCACAGACCTGAGATTCCTGCCCTGGTTTGTGTGATTCCCAACACAGGACGAAGCTCTGTCTCCAGGGCCCCTCACCTACTGGCCTTTTTTGGGAAACAAAATTGCTTTACCTTCTTAAAGAAAAGCCATGCGTTTGCTTCTTGAACGGTGAGAGTACCGTAGACTTGAGAATGATGCGTAATGGTGCGCACCACTGTAGGACGCATCCTCTCCGCCATGATGCTACTCCCCTGAGTTGACGGCACAGTCCTTTGCGTGTACGCTCTTCTAGTGCCTTCCATGATACTTAAAGATTCTTAAGCAGTGGGATCCCCCATTTGGCAGGAGCTCCTGTCAGTAGATTCAGACCCACCCTATCCTTGTTAACGGCTACAACAGCATTCCACAGTGTGGCTCTACCACAGTTTACGTAACCAATTCCCCACAGATGGTCGCGTGCCAATTTTTTGCTTCTCTGAGCAGTGCTGCAGTAAGTAAGTGTGGAAATCTCTGTGCACTCTGAGCGAGTATTTACATGGGATACATTCCTAGGAGGGGAACTGCAGGGTCAAAGGAATGAAAGAAGTGTTCTCCTGCATAGCCAAGCTGCCCTTCCACCCTCGGTGGCTGGAGGGCCCTTAATCTGACAGGCTAAATGACATCTCATTTTGAAGATATCTTCTTTGATCGGTGAGTAGACTGAAAACATTTTGTTTTCCGGCCATTTGTATTTGTCCAACCATGAACTGCCTGTTTCTATTTTTCTGTTGTTTGTCTTATAGAATTTGCGGGAACTTTTTCTATACAATGGCTTTAACACATTAATGATTATATTAAAAAACCTCCTCCTGTTTCAATTATTGAACAGGGAAGTCTTTCTACCTCTACTCTATCGTTTTATTGGTAAATGCAATCCATTAAAAATCACATCACACATAGCACTGCAAGGGTGGTTGGGCAAATTTTTCCCAGACATCTCCCTGTGTGCCCTAAATCCCACTGGTAAAGCTCCCCGAGATGCCATCCCCACGTCCACCTTGCCCTGCCTGTACACCCAGGCCCTGCGCTCTGGTCTGCACGTGAACAGCAGTTATCATGTGGGGATACGGTCCCCACAAGGGTGTGTAGGAAACTCTGGTTAGCCATTCCTCTTCTGAGAAAGCCTGGTCTCTAAACTCATCCCAGTCACCACCTAACTGCCAACCAGGGGTTGGGAGATACTTTTTCCTGAGTCCTGAAATCACACCAAGCCCACTTTGGTCAGTCCTGGGTATGTGGGTGGGATCAGAGGGATGGGGTAATGGCCCTTCCCTTACCCTACCCACCACGTGCCCCGAAGAGGAAGAAGCTCTGCAGAGTCCAGGAACTTGTTCTGCAGGTCCAAAGTAGTGTGGCTCCAGGATTTGGGCCTTCTTTAACTACAGGCCAGGCAGGAACCTGCTCTCCTCAGCAGCCCTGCCCTACCTTAACTCTGACACAGGGCTCCAGAGACCATCCTGTGGGGTGGGCCTACTCCTCTGCCCTCAATCACCACCTGTGAGCGGGATCTCCTTCAGCTGAAGCCAGCGGTGAGATCAGGATGTCCCTTGCTGGAAGTGCATCCTCTCCTGACCCTGAGTTCCCTCTGAGGGTAAGGGAGCAAGACTCAGCTGTATGTGCTGGCACTTAGGTGGAGGGAGAAGGAGAGAAGCTGGGGGGAGAAGGGGCCAGGGACAGGGAAGGGGCAGCATCAGCAGCAGGGAAAACCAGGGGCCACGGAGTGGATTCTGGGTGCCCCTGAAGGTGGACATAGCATGATGATGAGGAAGAAGATGGGGCGAGAGTAACACATGGTCCCAGAGAAAAATGTCTACACTGCTACTAACAATGGATAAACAAAAGGGGAACTGACAAGGGAGATGAGAGCAGCTAAAACTGGCTGGCTGCACAAAAGTAACCTTAATTATAGTCATTCAGACTAGCCGCTTAGCATTTATGCCTAATTACAGTGCCGCTCAATGATGTGTGTCATTAGCACCAGATCAATGCAGCTGGGTGTCGTGACTGATCGTTACAATCACAGGTACAGCTGATCTTTCCGGTGTGCTGTTAATGCAGCTTGGCTCCGGACCCCTTGGGCAGCAGCAGTGGGAATCAAGCGGATGATGACACGCATTACAAATGCTAACTCATTTAATTCTCACAAAAGCCCCTGTCCACATCCCCTGCAGGCCCCATGGTTTTCACAGAAACAAGAAGTGCAACCGGCCCGAGGTCCTGCAGCTGAAGGACAATAGAACAGGGGTGTGAACCCCAGCTGTCTGGCTCTGCCCCTCTGTGCCCCATAATGCTGTCTGCAGAGGGCAGGGTTCCTGCTCGGCCCGCTCGGCCTCCTCTGCCCTGTGTCCCCCGCCACCCCCTCCTCACCTGTATAGCTGCTGGAAGGAAGTGAGCGCTCTGGTCCTCCATTGAGTTCTGGGGCTCCTTCTGCCTCTGCCACTTCCTTTTTCTCCTCCTCTTCCCGGACCTCAGGGGCTTCCCCCGGTGGCTGCTCCATGGCTGATATCCCCTCGGCGCCACGCCTGCAGGCCCGGTCATAGCTCTGGCATCATCTGGGTCTGAACGCAGACGGACCTCTACAGGGCAGTTGCCATCAGCCTGGGCCAAGGGGCAGACAGGGAGAGGATGAGAGGGTGTGAGAAGGGCATGCGAGAGGGCTACCACCGGGCAGGGGTGGGGCAGTAGGGAGGGGGCTCCCCTGCTCCTGCTCCTTCATGGCAGGCACGCCTCCTCCCTGTAGTGCTAGCCCATGGGCTCTGCTCCTTGCACCCCGAGTCATTTCCCCTTCTGCCCTTTGCTTGGTTCCTGAGGCAGGTCTGTGGGGTTCCGAGCAGTCTCCACAAACCAGACAGGGTGACACACCCCTGCACCACCTTTCCCTGCCTCCTCGGCCCCATCCTGCTCTTGGCACCACATCAGAATGACTTCAGGGGCTTCTTCCAACTCTGTGGTCCTCCTGGAGGTCCTGATATGCACAGTACTTCCTAACTCCCGCCCTGTCCCCTCCAGCACTCAGGCTCTCCTACACCGCAATTCTTGAAGGGAGTAGGTCCTATCCTTCCTGTGTTTGGGTGTTGGGGGGGGAAAGACCGGAGCCCCTGCGGTGCTAGGCTCACAGTTGGCAGCAGATCTGCAACTGGACCCTCAGCAGCACAGCCATCAGGTAAGGAGAGAAGTGCTCTGTCCAGGAAACTTTCCGAGGTGGGGTTACTGGGTGGTGACTCCTGTGTGGAGGAGGCAGTTCCAACCCTCGGCAAGTGACATATTGCCCGCAGATGCCACCGTCAGTGGCAGTAAGACCATGAGGTGTTGTGGGGGAGTCGTCCTGGCAGGGAACAGTAGGGAGACCCCTTGAGAGTGGGGTGGATTTTGACCAGAGATGGCACGGAACTTGTCTTGGGGACAGAGCATGAGAAAAGACTCAGAGGCAGCACAGCAGGGAACGGTGAGGAGTCCTGGTGGCCAGGGAGTGAGCACTGTGGGAGCGAGGATTTGGAAGGATGGCCAGGAAGGTGGGCTGTGTCCAGACACGCATGCGTGACTGACTCTATCCCAAGGCAGTGCAGGCTGTGGGAGGATCGAAAGCAGAAAAGAGGGCGCCTGGGTGGCTCAGTTGGTTAAGCGACTGCCTTCGGCTCAGGTCATGATCCTGGAGTCCCGGGATCGAGTCCCGCATCGGGCTCCCTGCTCGGCGGGGAGTCCGCTTCTCCCTCTGACCCTCTTCCCTCTCGTGCTATCTCTCATTCTCTCTCTCTCAAATAAATAAATAAAATCTTTAAAAAAAAAAGAAAGAAAGAAAGAAAGAAAGAAAGAAAGAAAAAGCAGAAAAGACCTGCTTTAGGGAAATCCAAGGATCTGTGGGCCTTCTGGATGTGCCACGGGCAGCCCGAACTCAACCTATCCAAACAGAACCCACCATCTGCCCCCAAACCCGCCCTTCCTCTGGTAATCCCTACTTTGGTGACCTGCATGTCCATCTACCCGCTTATCAAAGCCAGAAGGCAGGGGTCAATGGAGACTCTTCCCTGTCCCACGCTGCTCTCCACTTGCAGACTTGGCTGGACACTGCAACCACTGGGGAGTTTTTCAAAATATGGATGTCTGGGCCTGTCCCCAGAGATTCTCATCTGATGGTGTGGGGAGCTGCTTGGGCACTGAAATCTTTATTTTTAATTCTCCTGGTGATTGTCATGTGCAGCCGAGCTTGAGAACCACTGCTCCACAGCAAGGCCACTTCCAGCAGACAGTAAATCTTCCCTCTCTCATCATTCCTCTCCAGCAGGCTTTCATTTTCCCTTGTTTGGACTGACGACAAGTTTGTCAACAAAAGGCAGTTTGGAAATTCAGCCCTCGAGTCTAAGAGCTGGGGAGTTGGGAATCTGGAGCTGTGGGGAGCATCCTCATCGACTTGACAGTCACGGAAAGGGATTCAGTTCACCAATGGAGAAAGCAACGTGTCAAGGGAGGTCAGGGGAATAGGCACCAGAGCAGTGGCCGGATGCAGGAGAGATGTGGGACAACCAGACAACTCGGAGTCATGGGAAGGGCTGTTTCACGGGGGAGGGCTCAACCGTCTCAAATGCTGCAGAGTTGGAAGGGTGATAAACTGACACATGACCCCCAGATTCAGTGACCGCCTGGTCATCAGTGACCTTGTGAGGCAAGTTTCAGTCAAGTGGTTAAGATGGAAACTGGGGCTCTGAAGAATAAGTGGTGGGACAGGAAGCAGGACAGTGAATGGAGACTAGGTTTTTGGTAAATATGTCAAGGAAATAAATGCACTGCCTCGAGAAAGTGGCAAAGCCAGGAAGTTTTTTGGACTAGAGGAGACTCAAGTAAGCCGTGGGTAGAGAAGAGGTCTGCAGAGAAAGACCGTCTGAAGATTCCAGGGGGAAGCTGGGGCAGAATGACTGATGGGAGGGGACTAATTCAAGGGCACCGGAGGAGGAAAATACAAAGAAGTATCATGGCAATTGGGGAGGGGGTGATTAAAGCTCATACGGGATGGCCTCACTCTTTTAGTTAATAAAGTAGGAGGGAAAGTTGTCCACTGAGAGTAAAAGATGGGACTTGCAGAAAGCAAAGAGGCTGGGTGGACGCACTTTGGCAAACATGACAGGGAATTAGCTGGAGAGCAATAAAAAGAACTGTAGCAAAGCCACAATAATTAAAACAGTGTCATACTGGCACACGAACAGACAATCAATGAAAGAATACAGAGTCCATAAATAGATGCAAACACACGTGGAACTTTAACATGTTGCAAAGACAGTACTTCACATCAAAGAGAACAAATGGATTCTCCAATAAAACAGTAATGGGACAATGGAGTAGCCATCTGGAAAAATTAAGATGGATCCCTACCTCAAACCTTCTATCAAGATGAGGTCCAACTAAATAAAAAAAAATTTTTTTTTAAGTTAAAACAAAAATATGCATTATTGCGCACCTGGCTGGTTCAGTCCATGGGAGCACACAATTCTTGATCTCAGGGTCGTGGGTTCAAGCCCCATGTTGGGCATAGAGACTACTTAAAAAAATTATATATATATGTGTGTGTGTGTACATATATATACACATATATATATAAACTTTCTACATGGTAGAAAAAAATCATAACAAAAACAGATAATAAACTGGAAAAAATATCTGCAACTCTCATCAAAGGGCTAATTTCTCTAAAACATTTCCTATAAATAAGTAGAAGCGGGGCACCTGGGTGGCTCAGTCGTTAAGCATCTGCCTTTGGCTCAGGTCATGGTCCTAGGGTCCTGGGATTGAGCCCCGCATCGGGCTCCCTGCTCCGTGGGAAGCCTGCTTCTCCCTCTCCCACTCCCCCTGCTTGTGTTCCCTCTCTTGCTGTGTCTCTGTCAAATAAATAAATAAATAAAATCTTTAAAAAAAAAAAGAAATTAAAAAAAAATAAGTAGAAGGCCAGCAATCTCATAGATAAATGCGCCTGGGATATGAAACATGTATACAGAAAAGCTACCCATTTGAAAAGCTGTGAACATCACTCATTAAAAAAAGAAATACAGGGCGCCTGGGTGGCTCAGTTGGTTAAGCGACTGCCTTCGGCTCAGGTCATGATCCTGGAGTCCCGGGATCAAGTCCCGCATCGGGCTCCCTGCTCGGCAAGGAGCCTGCTTCTCCCTCTGACCCTCTCCCCTCTCATGTACTCTCTCTCATTCTCACTCTCTCAAATAAATAAATCTTTAAAAATAGAATTAAATAATAAATAAATAAATAAATAAAAGAAATACAAATTAAAACAATACTCAAATACACTTTTTACGATCAGATTAAAACAAATGCTAACACGTTGCTAAACATGTGGGGAAACATAATCTCACACATCCCTGGTGGAGAGGTAAGCTGGCATGACCTCTGAAGAGGGTAATTTGCCTACATTTATCTAAATTACAGGTGCATATACCCTATGACCCAGAAATTCCACTTCTAGGTTGTATGATCTTTGTGAGATTTCTGTAACCTTCCAGTTTTTTCAAAAGAGTTTTTTTAAAAAGCTAAAAAAATTCTGGCTTTCTGGTTTCTCTTGAAAATTGGGCAGACCTGGCCACTGGGTGCCTGCATGGCCCCGACACCACCCTGGGAGCTGAGCAGTGGCCTCCTCTTTATGTGGACAGGCGCTTGCCACTGACACCCACGGTCCCGGCTACTTCCTGCGGTCACTCCCTAGGCTGCTTCACTCATGTGCACTGCATGAGGTGTCCCCTCCTGCGGGAATCTGAGTCTGGTTAGCATAAATCAGTTCCTCAAGGATCAATCACTGATCATCAAACTAGACCCGGAGCAAGGCCAGGGAGGGGTTCTCGCCACGTGGTTCCGATTACAAGTGGCAGCCTTCTCGTTGTTTACCTAATGCCATTCCCCCTTCTTCCTTACTGAAGCCCGATTTCTTTGGATCAGGCACGTGCTTAGCTAAACGCTCCATTTCCCAAGCTCCCCTGCAGCTACTGTGTTCATGTGACACAATGCTGACCAATACGTAAACAGAAATCTACTGGGAAGGCCTTCTGAAAATAGGTTTTTTCCCTGATCAAAAGAGACAAACGTTTACCTTCCCCCGCTCCTGCCTGGACTAGGAATAAGGGCCTGGAGGCGGAGCAGCAGAAGACAGGTTGAGAGGGCAGGGCGGGAGGTGAGAAGGGGTCTCGGGCCGCTGCTGAACCAGCCGTGGAGCGCCTGTCTCCAGACCCCTTGCTGCGGGAGACAACGAAACGCCTGCTTTATGAGGCCCTGTTTGCTAGACTTCAGCTGCAGGCAGCTGAACACAGTCCTAACTGAAACAACACGACATCGGACACTTAGCTGAAGAGGAGAATGGGGTTGTGGAAGGGGGTTGACGCCAACACTGGGAAAAGGGCCTTGGCGATCACCAGGGGCAGTTTGTGGACATTGTGGCATGGAGTAAACTCTCCAAAAACATCAGTTATTCTCTGAATAACAAGGACCAGAGACACCGGTTCATCATGCTCCACAGGACTGAAAAGTCTGGGGCAGGTGAGGGGTGAGAAACCCTCAACCAGGCCTGTGCCTGGAGGGGCTACAGGAGGCTTCTGAGGAGGAGCAGCAAG